CAAACATCTGTGTGTGTGTGTGTGTGTGTGTGTGTGTGTGTGTGTGTGTGTGTCTGTGCATTTGAGCCTGTACATTGTTTCAAGACATCCATCTCCTGACTCCACCCCCAATAAAAAAGCAGCTTTATCGATCCAAAGCAGCTCTATTTCCTCCAAGTGTCTAAGCTTATCAAAACATCCTCCTCTCACAGATGCCACATTCTATTCTGCTCATGCATTTTGCTCTGTCTCTCCATGCATCTTTCGCTATCTCTCTTTTTTCATCTCTCCATGTCTTTCTCTATGCAGGCCCTGTATCCGAGCCCAGAGGAGGGCTGGCAGATCTACAGCTCGGCACAGGACGCAGATGGGAAATGTATCTGCACAGTTGTGGCTCCAGCACAAAACATGTGTAATCGAGACCCACGCAGCAGACAGCTCCGTCAGCTTATGGAGAAGGTGACATTCGTCTCTTACATGCACAATAACCTAAATAACACACGCTTGTCAAGAGCAAATCCTAGCTGAGTAATATTTTGTACATATATTACACAGTCATTAAACATGGATCCCAAACATTGCATAATACTGTTCCCCATTAGAGAAAGTTTGTGAAAGTACATGATGCAAACAACCGCCTAAAAGAGGACGCGTCCTAAATACTGCTGTGAAATTGAATTCATTCAGCTGGTACAGCCGGTAGGATGGGTTTTTTTTTGTACTAATCGTGCTCATTAGACTAAGACCAGGCAAAGAACAACTGAAAAAAAGTGTAAAGTACCTCCTAAATCAGGAAATGGAGCACTCAATGCACAGAGCTTTACTAAAAGCCTCAGATTCACATAGACAGCCTGTTTGAGAGCAGAAAAATGAAAATTTTGCCTCCACATGTTGGATGTTAATGATGACAGAATGTCTTTCAAACTCTGTGTCATACATTTCTTTCACCTGTGGAACAGAAAAGACTCTATTAAACACTACTGACCACATACAGACTTTGTGTGAAGTAAAAAGGAAAGAGATGTAAAGCCCTGTTAAAAAGACTATCTTAGATTAGCATGCATTTCCATGCTGGTTCAGACTGGATTTTGCTGGCAAGTGGGGATTTTGTGCTAGTCTGTTTGGTGGAACTCAACCTTGTTAACATAGCTGATGAAGCTGGTCAATCAGTTGCAGTATCCAACACACAACATAGCCTCGTTCTTTTCCATATGTAGTGTGAGGGAAAGAATTTGAAATATAAAAAGAAATCAAGGAGAGAGAGAGAGAGATGTTTTGCTACAGAGAAACGGCTGGGTATTGAGACTGCTGATATGCACAGTTCAATCGATTGGCAGTTAAATGCAGAGTGTCGGCATAAATAGAGTGTTAGACTCTCAGCCAGTTGACTGGCCCCCATTTCCTCCTTCCTCACCAAGCCCTCAGTGGTTTCCAGCCTCATCTGTGAACAGCAACCCATTAAGAACCACACGTCCCCATCAACATCACGCTCACTGAATCAGAGAGAGCTTTGGAATCACACTACAATGGGAAGCAGCTGTTTGACTAGCTAATGAGCACAGCTGATGGAGGCAGAGATGAAGAGAGAAGCAGAGAAATAGAGGCTGAAATTAAAGCAGTTTGGAGAGGGATTCCTGAGAAGACAAATTTGGGACTCCAGACAGAGTGAGTCAATAAGGCACATGACTCACAGTCAAGCCAATCTTCCACAATATAACTCTGCCTCAAATTCTGCCACAATCTCTGCCTTACAGGAATAGTTCACCCAAAAATTCTGCCATCATTTAATGAGCCCTAATGTCGTTTGAAACTGTACATTAAGACATTTTGAAGAACGCCTCAGCTGTTTTTGTCTGAAAGTCATTGGGGTCCAAAACTTTTAAGCTCCAAAAAGGACATAAGGGTAACAAAATTCTGGTCTTCTGAAGCAATACAATCCCTTAAATTAAAAGATTAAAATGTAAGGCTTTATTCACTCTCAAATCAAATCAAAACAATGATTAACACAAGCGTACACAAACTAAATCAAATAGGAACCTTAAACGTCAACTAACATCAACTTGGTTAAGTCACTTGTCCAGATGTCATTGATGTTCGAAATTTGTCACCATATATGTTGTGAGAGGGAATATAGGATCAATCTGTTTATCATACAAAGTGATAGTGAATTTTAATTTTTGAGTGAACTATCCCTTTAAATCCTACCACAAATGCTATCTTAAATCCTGCCTTGCCCCTCTGTCAGGGTCTAAACAACACCTTATCTACAATCATACGGCAACATAACTCATCCACTCAGACAATAAAATGTGTGTGTGGCTAAGCCAGCAGCTGAGGCACTAATGCTCCTGCCTAATAAAACAGAGACTAATGAGGACACCTGGGTCAGTCCTTCTCTGAGAAAGATGTGTTCAGAATTAAACTACCACCACCCAGCCTCTTGTGTGTGTGTGAGAGCGTGTATATGCTCAGTCCTCCTGCGACAAGCGACATGCATGACAAACAATAACTGAATGCAGAGTGAATATGTGATCCCACCTAACCCTTGCCCAAGTCCAAACATCCACAATCCTCCGCGCTAAGTGTGACCATTGGGTCTGACAGCTATGCAGATCAGCTAATTAGACAAGAGACCTCATGCACATCAGTGTGGACATGAGGAGAATCCCAGCATGCAATCCGTGTCCTTTTCGATTCTCTTAAGAGCAGCCAGGAGGAGGGTGTGTGAATGTCTATGTGCGTGTATGTGGCCTCTGGGAGTATGTGGGAGTATATTGGAGCTAGTAAGGTGTGTGTGCTGATCAGAAATCACGTTCCCATCGCCTGTGTGTTGATGTGGGCAAGATGCTCAGTGGGTGGTCTGAATATGTATGATGGCTGATTTGAACTACAACAAATTGAAGGCGTCATACTGTTGTGTCCTCAAAAAAACATGCCCTGATGCATCACACTGTTTTGACTTTGTGTTTTGTGGTATTTAACAGGTTCAGAATATCACTCAATCCATGGAGGTGCTAGATCTGAGGACGTACAGAGACCTGCAGTATGTGAGAGACACAGAGAACCTCATGAAAACAGTGGACGGCAAACTGAAGACTGCCTCTGAAAATCCACGCAGCCTCAACCTCAAGAGTTTTCAGGTACTGAAGCATATCCAGCCTAAACAAAATGACTTTAAAAAACAAAGCGAATTAGGTGTGCCCTTTCCTCTCACAACGCCTACACTCACCCATTGTCATTGTTATTAAAATATGTTTCAGATTGAGTAGAACAAGGAGAACTTGCAGAGATTTCAGGAGACTATTCTTAGATTATGTAGGGAAGGGGTCAATCAGTCAATAAAAAAGGTAAAAACTAAAAGGATTTTTAAAATTAAGAAAAAATCTCAGAACAAATGTACAACTGGCTTGATGCTGGATCTCAAGAATGTCAAAACTACCTGAAACATCTAGAAGGCTATTCAAATCAAGGACATCTGAATACACCATCAATTCAAAGCACCAAAGTGAAGGTTATTGCAACAGTGCTTCTCAGCCTGCAAACCAGTGACAGTCAGCATGGGAGGTGGTTGTGCTAACAAGGTAAAACCTTTAGCATCAGTCACAAGTGCGCCTCTTGTGGTCAGGGGAGTAAGTTTACTCCATAGCATTTACCAGCTGGACTCCATGATTCACCCCCTATCCGGGTCATGGCACCAGTGCAACTGGTTCCACTTGGCCTGTTCCAAGCAAGGCTCGAACCCGGTGACAGCCAGCATGGGAGGTGGGTGTGCTAACAAAGAAACAGCCTTTAACATCAGTCGAAAGTGCGCCTCTTGTGGTCAGGGGAGTAAGTTAACTCCACAGCCTTTACCAGCTGGACTCCATTAGATTCACCCCCTATCTGGGTCATGGCACCAGTGCAAACAGTTTCGCTTGGCCCGTTCTGAGCAAGGCTTGAACCCGGTGACAGACAGCATGGGAGGTGAGCTCGCTAAAAAGGACACTAAAGACTGCAGCCTCTAGTGCCAGTCACTAGTGCGCCTCTTGAGGTCAGGGGAGTGGGTTTTACTGCACAGCCTTTAGCAGCAAGCCTCCAGTACATTACCCTTTGAATAATAATTAGGTAACATGACTGGAAATTGAGCAACATCAGTGCATGCTAAATAGTATTCACAGGCTCTTTATTTTTATATAGTGACATCACAACCTGCCCACCTCCAGACGCTCTACTCTAAAACTCTTTCCGCCGCCTCTGCCCCTACATGAAATAGACACTGACACTAACCTTCAATACCTCTGATTTTTGTGTTTAATTGAGACATACCAAAAGGTCCTCTGAGAGAATTCAAATGCACCTCAATTATTAATACCTAGAACTTGGAGCTTGTTTCAGTAATGAGTGTGTGTGCGTGCATACAAAAGGTTACGCTTTTTTTTTCTTTTTAGCTAGCAGCTGCTTTCCCAAAGGCTAAGATTCAGAGCCTTTTATTATTAAAGCTTTTTATCCCTTGAATACGAGAGTGTGCTTGTAGCCCTGCACGATCTCAGAATAGTAGAAGGACTCACTACCAATATACAGAGGGCTAAACGGAAGAGCACACTTTAAGATGAGTAACATGTAGCCGCCTGCTAAAGAGAGTAAAATGGAAGCCACAGACACTCCTCCCAAGGGTATCACTATCATTCAAAACGCACCACCACCACTTACCCATCTACCCCACTCTGCTGCGGTGTGAGTCATCTCACCAAACGCTGCATAGAAAATTATTCCAAAATGTTCCAGAAATCATTCCTCATCTATCGATACATGTTCAAAGCACCATAATCTTCC